CTTAGTGTATCGTTTAATTACCCAAGTTTGAGGGCTTCCGTTTATGTCATCGAGTGGAGGCTTGTCGAGAGAAGAATTTCTAGTTTTACAAGAGCAGCTGATCGCTCTGCGAAATAGAAATTATGAACTTCAAGAAGCATTGCAAAAGAAAACTAATGAAGTCTCCCAGCTGAGTTCACCTAGATCCGAAGCCCTGCAATTTGCTAATAAGCTTATAAACCGTCGTGAAGGAAATAAAGAGAAGGAAATAGCTCAAAGGTATGAAGCCGAGCTCGATGCGCTAAGAATGAAGCTGACCTCGCAAGAGGAGGAGTTTCGCCTGCAGCAGGAGACTTTAATAACTGAACTGAACAAGGTAATAGTTTTCCAAAACGAGGCTTTGAACAAGGAGCTCGAGCAGTTCAAGGCGGACGGGTCTATTTATTCATCTCCACAAGCTGGAACACCATGTGAGCCGCAACCATTGATTGCGGAACTTAGTGAAACTGTAACAATAAAGTCTCGTGACTCATCTACTGAAGTTGCGACCACTTCCACATCCTGTGTTGGTATACAGTGTGATGAGCTCGGAACACTACATTGCAACGCCGAGACTAATGCGACGTCGTCTGTATCACCAAATAAAACGAAATCGTGTCAAACTGATGAAGGAGCGATCGTGCCAGCATTGGAGAACAAGTTACTGGAATACAAGGATACAATGACGGAGCTTGAGTGTTCTGTGAAAGAGCTAGCTTCTGAAAACGCGAGGCTGATATAAATTGTGTAATAATAATGTAATGTAATAAAGGAAGCTAAGATAGTTTCTCTACTAGATCAGTCAAAGCTGTTGAATGCCGATATTGCTAAGAAAAATGATTTCATTTCCCATGCTTTACGGGCATTATCGACCATAAAGGAAAGCACTGGACAAGAAAGCGTCTCTATCCCAGAGCATTGCGTTGATGGTGAACAACTAGATAAGGAAGCTCTTATGATCTCGGAATACATTTCAAGAGCTCGAACCACAATTTCTAAGGCCTTTGATGAGAAGGCCGCACAAGCAATGTTGGTCAGATCAGCAAGAATTGAAGCGTGCAGCAACCCAAACCAATTCCTGTAGAGATGGAGTGAGAATCCGTGCAAGCGAAGAAATCAATTCACTCTCAGCAAAGTTGCTTAAAGCTGCACTGGAAGGAATCAGCGGTCAAGCAACGTTTGATAAAACTTTGCTGCTTGAAACTCGATATCAACTCGATTGGCTGACCGTGGAAAACGCGTTTAAGTGAAAAAGAGGAAATGCAACGAAAAGATGCTCTTTGAAGTCTTCACTATCAGCCAAGGACGAAGAAAAGGCATTGGCACTGAAGAAGCAGGCGGCTCTAATCAAAGAATTGCAACGTGCTGTCAAAAAAGAAAAGAAACGCGCTGATTCTATGGAGGAGCTCGGCCGTTGCTGTTCCGAAGACAAGATTGTGACATTTAAGTCGAACAAGTGTGCAAAATGCCAGGACATTGGGATGCCTACAGCGAGTGATCATGCAGCCAGGTGCCCGGAATCAGACAAATTGCGAACTCGTAGCAACTGACGACATGCAAAGAACACTTGCTCAGAGACTCTAGATCGTCCTGAAATGCGCTCGCGAACGAGAATGCGCGGTTGAACAGTGAAATTAGTGAGAAAAGTGATTTTATCGAGCACTAGGAGACGACCGCTAGCACAGGGCGCTGGTGTCACGACGCCATCGAAAACGGAAGGAACCTTCCGAAAACTCTTGCTCTCAACATTGCCAACAGACGAGGCGACGAATGATATCAGAGAATGAAAAAAGCTACCACTAACTGTTGAACATACGATTACAGAAGAAACAATCATCCTTCAGAGTAATCGCAAAACACTCCTTGAACACGAACAGAAATGTAAGATGCCTCATGGCAAAGTCGCTTTGTCATGTAAGTTTCATTCAACGTTCGGCTGACAAAAGCTACCTTTTTGACTTCCATTCAGGATTCATGCCTTTTTGCTAATGCGTTCTATAAAGAAACTATAATATAATCTTGGATCATTGCGAGCTAGTTAGAGAATATTTGCGTCTCTAGTGATAGTATTGTATTTATTTATAGATATATGTTTTCTTTCTTCGTCATTTAGTCTTCACAAAGGATTGCATCTTTCATAGAACATTATTAAATAACGCATCAATAAATCTGAATACATAGCATACAGCGTCAGCTGTTGTCTCGGTATATCACAAAAACTGCCTGACGCGAATATCGATTTTTGCAAAGTATCATTACTCCCATCATATCAGTACCCAAGTTGATTCTGGCGAACAATTTTTGTGGACTAAAGTTGTAGTGCGGTTCGTTCGCAATTTCTACAAAATCGTATTCGCGTGCAGTAATTTGTATATATCCGAAGACTAACCACACAAACCGATCTAAAGATGCCGAAAAAGAGAACGTTGTAATTGCTGCAACTTTGATCATGAGAATCGGCATGTTCCAACCCAACATAACCCGCCTGAACTCGCACAAGAGATTAACAAGAGACAGCTAACACTCACAAATTTTGATGCCGCCGTATCTAGAATTCCTGCTAGCACCAGAAAGGATCAATGGGTAGCACCTATTTACGCGCTCAACTTAGATAACTCATGTGAGCAGAATGACGACCCGGCAGTCATCAATGTCGTGCACGAACCCCTGCCGGAGAAACCGTTAGTACCGATCATAGACTGCGCACGATTAAGCTCATTCCGCCTTGCGAAAAAGATATCATTGGTTGTGCTGGTCTTTCCTTAAGAAACTTGTGAGCGCCCTCCCCAGGAAAAGATTGAAAAGATCACTTCCACTATACCAGAGCTTCGAATGGTACCTAATTCAATGGAACGCGCTGAGGGAGGAGCCCAACGCGCAGCACGCTTATTCCTTATTCGCACTCACCAAAATACATATCTCAACAGAGGGATATCGAAAGTCCATGGGATCCTCTTTGACCCTCTTCCGCGATGAAGACCATATTTGGAAGTCAAGGGGACGTTTGCAGAATTCATCCCTTTCTCAGGAAGCGAAACATCCCGATTTTTATCACTCCTAATACGAGCCTAGCGGAACTGATCATCAGAGATGCGCACGGTCCCTATCACCAAGGAATCGAGCACACCATAGGCCACGGTACGAAATCGATATTGGATACCCAAATTACGTCAACAGGTTCGGAAACTTGTCGTAAATGCGTGAAATGTCGACGATTCAATGCTCTACCGTATCCGTATCCCGATTCCACGGATTTACCACAGCGCCGAGTATTCCGTAGTCGTCCATTCCAACACATTGGACTCGATTTTTTGATCTGCCGAAACTGTCGACCGAAGGAGACGAACGCAATCCATGTGGGTGCATTTTTACATGCACTGTCACACGACTGATGCACTTAGAATTGGTACCGAGTATGAGCACTGAAGATTTCATCAATGCATTCCGACGATTTGTCGCCCGAAGAGGGATTCCTGACACGATCACCTGTGACAACGCTCCAACATTTTTACGAAGTCAGACACGCATGTGGCCCGCTGGCGGGCCATACGGTCCCG